TACGGCATTTTCCAAAGCACGTGCCAAGGTAACAAAGTTATGTTGTAACCATACCTTTAGACCCCTCGTGCAAACATAGGACCTGTAGGACTTGGACCGGTACGAGTATCGTACGTACCGTACCACCATAGATAAGTTGTCAGCTAGCTAGCTCAGTCCGAAAGCGATTTTAGTAGGTAGGCAAAAAGTACTATTCAGAATCAAACAATCACAGCATACAGCGAAGCAATGAAGAAGAACGAAAGYATCGATGAATAAAATAYGGCATACAGAAAAAAGACAATGGAGGCTTTTCGACAAACARCGGCGGAATTATGATACGAGTATCGTGTTCTTTTACCCTTTGAATTGTGAAAAGCAATCCTCTTTTTTTCGACTAGTTAGCCACTGAGGCTGGAAACCAAAAAAAGTACCATGTTCAACAGTATGTAACTGGAATGCCATCTCTTTTCCGATGGGTACTACACAATTGTACTAGTAGAGAGAGGAGAAACTATTTTACGTTTCTGATATAAATCATCCTACTCGTAGTAGTTGATGTTTTTTCGGTTGGGAGATTCCTCCGTTTCCGGATCAGAATCATACTGTATTAAAAACTGTTGTTTGCTGCGTTTGGCAGTATGGCTGGTGTATGCTCGGCCAACGACCAGTTTTTCCATTGGATCTTCCTCCGGTTGTTGTCACTTGTTGTTAGACCTCCATCTCGGCAAGGATCGCTCCCCATTCCTCCGCAGACGGCGGMTTCGTACCCTTTGCGGCCCCCACCGAGAATTCCACTGGCTTGTCGTGCAGCGCGGCCATCACGGCGGCCATGGCGGCGTTGATCCGGTTGGTGTCGTAGGGCGCGGCATCGAAGGAGGTCTTCGTTCCGAAGAGCTTGAGGRCGTTCGGGACSTCGACGGCGTCCCCCCTGGTGCAATCGACCCCCAGCGTGAACCGATCGTGGGCCATGGTACAGGAAGCCTCGGAGAGCTCGAAGAGGGTGTTGTAGTATTGCTTGCTCAGCCCGAAGTCGTTCGAAGCGGGCTCCCCCGGGCCGCCCCCCTTCAGCTGGCCGGCCCGSACGATCGAGAGTCCCAGATTCTTTGACGCGCACGCGGCGCGGAGGGCCCTCTCCGACTCGGAAAACTTTGCGTCCCCCCCGAAGAATCCGCCCCCCCCGGCCGAACCGCCCATTTTCGACAGCAGGACGACCTTCGAGAGATCGCTCCCCGCCGACGCGAGCAGKGTGTTCAGGGCCTTTTCGTCGACGGGGGTGTCGTGGCCCACCAGAATCAGGGTGTTRGCCTTCGACAGGGCGTCCTGGATRTCGTCGCCCGACGAAATCGGTGTTGCCCTCGGGGWTTCCGCGTCGCCKYCGTCGTTCTCGTCGTCGCCGCTTGGAGCCCCGTACATCAATTTCTTGCTAAAGGCCTCCTGCCCCGGTGCGCAGAGGCAGAACGACGTTTGGCCCTCCTTCGCGGCCAGCTTGGACGTCAGCAGGATCAGCTCCTTGGCGGAAGGCCCGTACACAAAGGTGGTGCCAAAGGCATCGGCCACCCCCGCGCAGCACGCCGCGATTACGGAGGCCGTGCCGGCGGCAAGGGCCGCTGCCCTGAGTATCCYGTTTTTGGGACCACCGGTTGTCGATCTCATGTTTCTCGAGACAATTCAACTATCTYGCGTACTCGTACTGTCGACAGGAAGCGGAATGCGGCAGGGGTTTTGGAATGCCGAGAACGATGGAAGATGTTGCAATCGTACTTTGCTGGTAAGCGTTCGAGCCTGTGGGTGTCCCTTGTCCATCCCACCGAAAGTCTACCGTGCATGTCATTCACGGTTCAACAAGCAAAAATCTTTTTCGTGTGTCGGATCGGACGCGCGTGGAATATACTTAACGACCAAACCATCAAACGTGACTGGACCAAAAAAATGTGTTGCTACCGTCCGTCCACTACGAGTACGGTAATCGTACCGTTCCAGGTACCGTACGTCCTCGCGCCTCCATGCTGTGTTCAGTTCGACCCGGACATCGAGTCGCGCCAACAATGCCTTACCGTAGGTGCGCGCTGTGCGTCGTACGAATAAATTCAAAAATTCGTGAAGGAATGAATGAATCCTTCCTACTGTACCGGCGGTACTACCTACAAGAACACGTAGCGTAACCGTAGCGTAACCAGTAAAGTAGTACGAAGTACTGTACAAAGTACTTCTAGTAGGAAGTGTGAGCCTAAATTCGCACGATGCAATCCTGCAAGTCCTGTATTTCGCAGCCAACAATACATGTGTGGTCCCATGGTTACATACGGAATCCAAAAACAGCAAGGACGTTTGCTCGGCTCTGTCCCGTTGGTCTAATTCGTGCTTGTGGAAGAGCAGTCGAGATCGAACAGCGTTTCGCTCTCTTCCCTCGYAATACATCTCTGACACGGTTGTTGTTTATCCGAAACCGCAACGGCTTACCGATACGATACGATACGTTGGGACTGCATCGCCTGTTTCGTTGCGCATCGCATCGCAAGTCGTTCGAGCACCCTAATYGGCTTCACGATTCTTTTCCATTCTTTACTTTTGATACGCCCGGAGGTTACCGTGAATCCAACTCCCACCTACGACTCAAAGCTCCACCCTGTTCGAGTGTCGAACGAACCCCACCTTMACAGCCGYGTCTGCCAGAAAYCAGCACCTTTCATTGCTGTTTCCCACTGTACKTCCACGCTGCACCGGTTGCCTTGTAGGTTGCGAGGTGTTAAATAGGGTCTTATAGAAGCTACTCACACTAGAAAGAACCACAGAGACAGAATCGATTTGCCACTCCAACACTCCAACACTCCCACCCACACCCACACCACGGAAGCAAGACGCTAGTAACGGCAACGAGAACGAAGACGAGAGCAACGACGAGGACGAGGACGACAACTACTCAGCAATCTCTACCTTAATCTGTGCACCGTTTGATTTCGTTGTTCATMCATCCCGAAACACCAACCTGCTGCACCGAAAAGCATAGTATATTCAATAGTCCACAAACCGATCCCGCACAACAAGTCATATACTTTATCGGATTTGTTTTGAATCACAGACTACAAGCATTGCAATGTTTTCCAATTCTTKCAACAACGACGACGACAACGAAAACAACAACAGCGGGAGAAGCAGAAGGAGCACTAAAATGGTTTCCCCCGTCTCGCCATCGCGGGTGCAACAGATGATGGGACCCAACGGAATACCGAAACCAAAGTCCCTGCTCGCCTCGTTTTTGTTTTCTGCACTCTCCGGACCGGAGGAGCAGCGACACGAACAAGTCGGCCACCAGGCATCACCRAGATCGCTGCCGGCACCGCGCTCCCTCCAATCCAACCTGYTGCCCCCCTGCCTGCTCGGAGAAAACGTCGCCGGATCGTCCCGCCGATCGAGGACCGTCACGGACGACGCCACGGAGGAGCCCGCTGAGGCTTCGTCCCGTCCACTCCTGCCCCTCCCCCGCCGGTCCTGGAAGATTTCCAGGGACGACAGCACGGCGCTCTCCAGGGTTCCGAGCTTTTACCCMCCCCTGGACCCCAAYTGCACGGCCCTGGTCACGGATGCCCCGCCCTCGATCGTCGTGGTGCGAATCAGCGAGTGCCTGCGCAAGCGCTCGATCGCTGCGGAGTACGACGACGAGTCGGTCGTGGCCCGCTGCATGACCGTGGACCGGTGCGAGTTCGAAATTCAGCTCTACCGATCCTCGTCCTCTCCGGCCACGTCGTTTCTCGGCGGGGATGACTTTGACGTGACCATGGCGGACCTCGGGACACTGCCCTCTACCACGTACAACGCCCCCAGGTGCGACGCCGTGATCGTCGAGGTCCGGCGCCTCTCGAGCGGGAGCAGCATCACGAGCTTCCACGCGGCCTGCCGCAAGATCCTCATGGCRGCCAAGGGACTGGACGCCGGCACGGACGAGCGGAAGCCCCGGTGCAGGAACGGAATGGAGTTCCGGTACCGGCCCACGCGCAAGCGGGGGAGGGACCGCCTGGCCCCCGCTTGCGGCCCGAAACGGCCCAGGAGTCTCCTCGCCGGAAACGGATCCCCGTCCTCCGAATCGGGAGGGTCCGCGGTACCCGACGAAACGCCTGGTGGCGTCTCCTCTGCAGAGTCGGCTCTGGAGGGAGCATTGGAACTGCTGCGAAAGGATCGATTAGAGTGCCGGCGGCTGGGAATGGAACGATTGGTCGATCTCACGAATCCGGACAGCTGCGGAAGGGAAACCTGTCGCCACGTCGGKAYGCGGCTGCTCTCGCAGGAACAGAGCCCGCACCACCCCCGGGGCGTTTTGATGGAGTACCTGATGCATCCGGGCGCCGCCCAGCTGGCCTCCGAGACGGTGTTCGGTAGCAGCGCGAATGCCCAGGGGGACTGCGATGCGAGTGCGAACGAGAACGAGAACAGCGAACGGATGGTGCGATCATTTCTGGAATCCTCGGCTCTGTCGGCAAGCCCGCTCGCATCGCATTCCCCTCAAAAGCAGCAACGCCAGCAGAGTGCGCACCACGGGCAATCCCCGTCCTCTTGCTTCAAGAAGAAAATGTCCCTGGCTCTGCACCGGCGACCCGCATCACCCTCCCCCGGACAAGAGCACAACTCCGATGCCCGACTCWTGTTGTCCCCCGACGACCTCCGCCACGAGGCCCGCCTGCGAGCRATGGCGCTGCGGGTCCTCTGCAACATCCTGGACCATCTGTCGGCTACGAAGGAATTGCGGCGTGTCTTGTATCCCAAAGCAAGCAGTAGCGAACCCCGGGCAGCGAATCGTGGGGTGGGGGCATCGCGGTGGGTCCAGCCTGCTTTTTTGCTGTCCCTGGTGCAGGAGCTGCAGGGGGCCGGTCGGCCCCCCAGCGTGGCGGAAAACGGGTACAAGCTAGCGTCCGTCCACGAGGCGGCCCTGGCGGCTCGCTGCCTGAGGTTGCTGGCGGGGTACGAGGGCGAAGACGACGACGAAGACGAGAAAGATTGCGACGAGCGGCACCCCCCGCCACGCACCGGCGACGACRACGATGAGGACGACGATTGCCACAGGAACCGTTGCGTGGAAGAGGTCCGCGACTTTTTGAGGTCGGAACCGGTCCTGGAACGCCTGTCGTATGCCCGRTTGTGCGGCCGGGTCACCCACGCCATTCTAGAGTTCGAGGCCGATTGTACGTACCATCGGCTCACGGAGGATGCCCGGTCGTGCTGATCCGAACCGGCACGAACGAAACATGGAACCAAAACATCCGCAATGTCTTTTGCTCGTAGATGCACAGATCGAAGAACAACTAGCGTATCGAACACACGGGCGTACACACATAGGGAACATGGCAAAATATCAAAATTTTAGGGAACCCATTTTAGAAACTTTTTGAAACACTAGCTTTTGAATTGTGTTGCAAATGCTTTCCCATTTTAGCGTATCGCTACGAGAGGCAAACGGGACCGAGGCTGCGGCGACACTTCGAGAGGATCCTGCCTGTTCTCGTTGGAACTGTGCTGGATGTAGCACAAAAAAGACATGGCATGAAAGAGTGCACAATCAAGAACCGATTCCAAAGTCCTAGTCTTTGATTTGTATCGACGACGGAGAAACACAACATGCTTGTCGATTGAACCCCAGCTTAATGCCTGTCCTAGAACTTTAGTCACGATGAAGTTCGTAGTTGTCTCCATGTAGAGTGAAGGTCATACACTATCATCTAGCTGAAGAACTTTGGGATGGAGGGTGAGTGTCAACATCAGTATGGAATAAATTAGAATGATAGTCGCACACCCTTTAGTACTGAAGAATAATAAGTGACCAGCACCAACAGAATCCCTTACCCAGCACTTCGTAGACCTCACTACTAGAATAACATCCCCACTAGTAAGCACTAATAGAGGTTTTCCAGTAGTAAGCCCTAATCGAAATTCTCAGGTTGTGAGCAATGAAATTATCTCTCCAGTATTAAGGACAACGAATAGAAATATTTCTGGACTGAGTAATTTTGTATGTGGAGGGGGGGAGAGGGGAAATGAAGACACCAGGAGAATGAAAAAGTTGATT